TGGATCTGGCTAAGGGTGAAGGGCGAGGTCTTCATGCATGGGTCAACCAGCTGGGGCTTGATGGTCTGGTGTGAGAGCTGCTCATGAGATAACCTGTCACTGGAATTGAGAAAGAGGAAATTGAATAGGACAGTGAGCTAAGTGATGAAAAGACTTTATGCTCAGACGACCAGATCAATTCTCACCTAAAATGTGAAAGGATTTGTCCCATAGAATAGATGCCTGTTTGTCAAAGGCATGGATTCAAATCTAACCTGACTTTTCAAATACAGACAGGCAAAACTGCTTACTTGAGGCTTGGGATCATCAGTTCTATCTGGAACTTCTCAGTCACATGTATCACCCAGATACATTCCACATCCGTGGGGTAGTTTGTAGGATACCAAGGACTGGAGAAGGAGCCTGAGAGACCTGAAGTTACTCCTCCACAAGAGCTACCTCCTGTTGTAAAATCAGGTGAGAGACATATGGTTGGCTTTGTGCACACACATTGCATGTTCTCAGGTGTAGAATCCAGAATCTCATCAAGCTTAGCAGTGGAATCACAAAATGGGAAGGTTTCATGCCAGTATAGACATAGTCATGGTTTGGCTGGTATGAGCAACTGTACCAAATGGAGCAAGCAGGCTCTAAATTGCTTAAGGGCAAGATTGAAATGAGATTGGACCTATGTGTGTGGCATGTGTGGGTTGTCCATCCTACACTTTATTCATGCGCTCCCTAGCTTCCTGCCATGCAAGCCATCTCAGCTAAGATGCAGACAATCCTACTATTTGTGAGGGCTCCACTCTGCACATGATTTCCCCTCCTGGCAGCCAGGAAAGACAGAAGTCATTTCTGATATTATGAATTATCAAAACAATTCCATTTAACTTAATACTCACAGATTATATGTACAATGAAAGAGAGTTACCTTGTGGTACAGGCATTTGAGGAGTAGCAGCTGCAAAAATCACAACCAAAGAAAATTAGGAGAGATGCTGGCATCATAAAATCATCTCATGGTTAAGAAGAATGAATGACCCTATTACTACTCTTGAGTTTTAATGAATGCTATGGATACATTAATCCCCTGACCTGAGATAGAGCCTCTCCCCTTTTTCCCATTGATTCAGCATGAAATCACAGACAATGCATAGTTACATGACTTATTTTCTCTTATACACTAGGTTCTTCCAATCCAAGGGCTATCTTCAGATTGACCAGTGTCTAGAAATTACAGTAAAATCACTGGGCCAGCTTATGGTCATACCATTATGTCTGTAAAAGTGTACTAAGTGCTGAAATCCACAAGATAATAGCCAGAAAGCTGAGAACTAAGGTGGAGAAATATAGTCGGACTAGCATTCTGTTGAAGGTAGATGGTTCTCTGTGGGAAGCTCCAAGTGCTTAAGGTTTCTTCTTTCTCCTTTCACATGTCATTTTGTCTTTGTTTTGTACATAACACATGTTTCTGTATTCTATATTTAAGTCCATACCACATGGCACAGCTGAAGACAGGACAGTTCATTGCAATGCTGGTACTTGTTTGAATTTTATGCTAAGAGTTTAGTGGGAAAGGAGTTTAAAGCAGATGGGTCAGATGCACTTGAGAATTTCTTTATCTGCATTACTTCACTCCTCAGCTAGCTTTACTGCAAACTATAGAGCAGAGTAGGCTGTGGATGCCATCGACTTGTGTGTCCTTCGTAGTCCTTTGCCAGCAAGAGTTCTGGGTACTAGCAGAATGAATATTCTGTAGCCTAAAGTGTCTCAAGCAATTTTCTTTTAAAATGCTTAATTCAAAACATTTCCCTTTAAGAATTAAGTGACAAACACCTTATTTTTATTTATTTATTTGTGTGTATGTGTGCATGCACACTCCAAGGTAAGTATATAATGCTCTATCAACAAGTGGTTTGTTGGATTGATGCTTACAGTGGGGTATTATTCAGATGTGAATAGTTTATTTCCCCCATAGTGTTTTAAATACTGTGTATCATTGTCTTTTCCAGACAGATATGTATTTCTGCAGAGAAATGAGAGGAAGGGGTTTAAACTCTAGACTCTGAGAGGATGGGGGCACAGAGATACTATATCAACTGAAAGCCAGCCTTCCCTCATTCTGCTCCCCTCTCCTTCTCTCTGGACCCAAGCTAGAACAGATTTCTCACTGGAGAAAACGGAAATCCAGAGAAGATCGCAGAGAGATTAACTGCTTGTTGGATCTTGAAAAAGGGTTCTGTGTGACATGCCTCCTTTCTAAAGCTGCTGCAGCACTTGTGGGGCCTTACCCATGGGTGGGGAAATCAACTTCTCCATGTCACAAGTTGACTACCCCATAGCAGATGGGTAACCCACAAGGGATCGCTACCTCTACCCTGAAACACAAGTGCACACCTTTCTGGTGTCCAGGCCCCCAGAGGGGACAGAGAGTGGCAGAAGTCATTGGACAGAATTAGCATTAGCCAGGGGGCAAAGAAGCAGGCAGGTGAGAACCCATCCCTGAGAGATAGAGGTGGCAGGAGGAGGAGTACACCTCTTTATCTCGCTAGGATCCCGACTTTGGGAGAAGGTCGCTGCCACATGTCTGCTTTGACTAGGTTACCAGAAGGTCTGCTCTGTTGTGTTGGATAAGCTGGGAGACCCCAGAGGGTTAACTCATTGCCAGAGCAGGCTGCACTTTGCCCACTGGAAGAGTTTGGCTTTTTCTTTTCTTTTCTTTTCTTTTCTGATTTCTTTTTTTTTTAAAGAGAGATTTTTGCTATAGGGTGTTTGCACTTGCCGGAGAGAGACAGAAAGTGAGAAATCACCCCCCAAGGGGATAGCCACACCACAATCCCTTCTCCTTCATTCTTCTCTCAGGATTTTGGGCATGCATGCACACACGCCTGGTGTGAGTTTTAGGCTGCTGGGGCCAGGACTCGAACCATGGTCAACTACGTGGGAGTCCAGTGACACAACCATTACACCGTCTGCTAATCCCAAGCTTTTAATGCATTTTTGTTTACCTGCACACTTTGATTTTCTAACCTATGTTCCTGACAGGCAAAACTTCCCACCTTCTCTTCTCTCCTTACTGGCCCTCTTCTCAGCCATGATGACTAAACCTTTCTCTTCCTTTTCCCTCCTGCTCTTCCTTGGTCTGCCACCAGACAGGATAGTTTTGGATGTAATCCACTAGAGAAACATGACTTTTAGCTTGTTGTCTGAGGCACACTGGAATCACAAGGGAAATTTTAATTTTACTCATGACTTGAAATGACCCCAGAGATTTTTTTTTTTTTTGAGAGGTTTTCACTATAGGGTGCGTGCGTTCGCCAGACAGACAGACAGACAGAGAGCGAGAAATCACCTCCCAGGGAGGATGGCCACGCTGCAATCCCTTCTCCTCCATTCTCCTCTCGGGATCTTGGGCATGCACACACATGTGCCCAGTGTGAGTTTAAGTCACCGGGTCCCGGATGCGAACTGCGGTTGACTACATGGGAGTCCAGTGACATAGCCATTACGCTAACTGTTGGTCCCAACCCCAGAGATTCTGATATGACCAGTCTAGGGCCCTGCCTGGGCATCAGGAATTTAAAAAGCTCTCTGAGTGATGCCAGTGTGCAGCCAGAATTGGAAATCATTTGTCTGGCCATTGTCTTCCAGTGTCTACATCAGGACAGAGGTTAGATTGACATTTGCAGAGACAACTGCAGTGTTAGACCTACCTGGGGGTACAAGAGTTGCATCTGGAGCCCAGTTCCCAGCATCTGCATGCATGAAAAAAAAGTAAGTTTAGGAAAAACAAAATTAAATTCTATGAAGACAAAGACATTTGTGTGGCAGGTCTTAAGCAGGCAGGCTTCATGATGCATAAATAAGAATGGAGGAATGGTTAGACTCTGAGCAAGAAGCTCCAGACCTAAAAAGGTGCAGAGAATAGGGGCAGCCAACTCTATGGCTCTGGTTTGTCTTCAGAATGGGACCAGGCTCTTAGCATTCCGTTTACTTGGCTGAAGCGACATTCATCTGTAGGTCATTGTCCTTAGATTCCTTGGCCTTGCTCTGTGCATGGCCTCCTTCTATCACCAAGATCTTAGGCTGAAAGCTCAGAAAGAACCTACTATAGGAGGAAAGACAACCTGAGCAGACAGCACAGCATCCCCAAAGTGGCCACAATTTTGGCCACAATTTAACCTGCCAGAGCTGGGGCACTTCCCAAGGTGTTTCTCACTTCCTGAACACCCAATGTTGTCTAGGAGGAAGTCTCTAGACCCAGGACTGAAGTGGGCCTTCCCAGGAGCAGCAATGGCCTGTCCATACCCCAACTGTCTGCACATGACCTCTGCTTCATTCAGGTCCCACAGGTTGTTGCACACAGTGCCCCAGAGCCCTGGTGGATCTCCACACATCTTGAGCACTATCCAGAGCTACCCACCAGCCATAGCACTGGTCCATCTTCTTAACAGAGTGGGATTTTATTTTGAGCTTGAGAATTTGGCAGGGGTGGGGGGGGTTGCCATGGGATGCGTGCTTGCCAGAGAGGAGAGAGACAGAGAGACACAGTGAGAGGGAAAGCAAAAAATTATGCACCCCCCCGGGGAGGGATGGCTATACCACAATTACTTCTCCTTCCCTCTCCTCCTGGGATTTTTGGCACATGTGCCTGGCTTGAGTTTTAAACTTCTAAGTCTGGAACTCAAACCATGGTTGGCCATGTGGGAGTTCAGTGCCTTAACCCCTATACCTCCTGCTGACCCAAATTTTGGGAATTTTTAAGTGGGAAAAGTCTACATGCTTGTGACTAAGGAAAACACAACAATAAACCCTTAAAACTATCTTGATTCCCTAATAGGCTTAAGGGCTTTAGAGTGAGGCATAAATTGGGTTTGACTTCCATTTCTAATGCTCCTTAGCTGTGTAACCACTGACAAGTTACTTCGTCTCTCTAGGCCTCAGTTTTCTCATCTGTAAAATGGGAAGTATAGCAGCATTTATTTCAGAAAGCTGTGGGATGAGTCAATGGGAGTGTGTGTATAAAGCACGCAGCACATCACGGTCATTATAGATCTTGCCCGGTGATTCTCTGTGTCACAGTGTTGGGCTATGAGGGAAGTAGGGGTTCCCAGATGCTTTTTTGGATGTGTCTTGGGTAAGTGTAGCTTTAATTCCCTAAAGGCACTTGAACCACAGGGTTAACTGTGACTTTATAGAGTCCAGCGGCAATGGCTCCATACGGACTGAAGAAACGTGGCCAGTTGGAATGAACACCGTTCTGGAGATGTTGTAGGGAATGTCTCCTCTTACTGTGCCCACTGGCTCTGTCACACTGGCCTTCTTTCTGTTGCTTCAATATGTCCAACTCTTTGCCTCCAAAGGTCTTTGCATTTGCTGCTTTCATTCCCATTCGATCTATAGAAGTATCTCAACTCTCTACTCTTCCACCTTGCTTTCAATTCTCAGCCCTTCTTTATCCTTTATCATTCTTACCCCCAAATCATCTTGTTTATTGACTTACTTCTTATGTCTTGATCCTCATCCACTTAATCACATCTACACTAGACTATAAACCCAAAGAAAGCAGAGAGATATACTATTTACTCTGTGTCCCCACACCTATAACTGGGCCTGGAACAGAGGGGGACCTCTGTACTGAGTTAACAGTGAGTTAACAGTTAACTTAGTACCTGGTTTCATGGTGACCTCAAAGAGTTACTGGGGTCCTGAAGGGGCTCCTTAGTATCAGAAGTCCCACAGTTGACTAGAAGTGTGCTGGCAGGGTGAAAAATTGTACTGGCTCTGGAATGACTGTAGAGTCATGGCTAACAGGCATCCTAAAGCCTCTCACTTGGTCAAGTCAAGGGTCCAACGTATGGAGGTATACAATGGGCTACCCTGGTGGAATAAAGTGGTCTTCTCATAGGGGTATTGGGCTTCCACATTCAGACTCCGAACAAAGGTTGGTGCTAGCATGTGCAGCCTCAAAATCTTTCACAGAATATAGCTTCCTCCTGAGAACAGTAGCAGCCTGGCCATTACACACAGGATAGACATGGTAGATTTACCTCATGGTAGATTCTCATGTAGCTCTCTTGGTGGTGGTGGTGGTGGGGGGTGGCGGGGACCTAGCAGCTATAGAGCAGGGCTGATGGAGCTAAGTATGGGGTCTTTTAAAACTGAATCCCAGGCCTCTGCTAATAGGGAATTCTCTCAAGTTAGAAACTGCTCTGCCGTTTAAACACCAAAATATACTTGAAGCTTCTTACCTGACTCAGTTTTATCTTGTGGAATAGCATTGAACAAAGCATAAAAGCCAGTGTTGGTTATCATAGAATCACTTCGAAACACCACTGTCATAATGTCCGAGGAGGAGAAGAATATCACAGCTGAAGGGGCACAGAACTTCCCCATAGACAGCGAGGCAATTCTCGGGCCATCGAAGATTTCAACTGAGTCATAGGGACATCCAAGGATGTCTTCTAGTCTGGGAGAATAGAAGTGCAAGGTTAGTGGCAGGTGAATTTTCCAAGATACTAATGCTAAAAAAAATGGCAATTATAGAGATTAAATATTTGGATTATATTTTAAGTTGCATATATATAATGTTAATTAACTTTTTCAGATGTACTGTCAAAACTCTATTTTCTTTCCTTTTCTTTAAAGAATTATTTTATTTATTGTTATTAGTATTATTTTTTAATTTGACCAGAGAGACACACAGAGAGAGAGGGAAAGTGAGAAAGCAAGATGCCAGGTTCAGAACGCAAACCACGGTTGGCCATGAGGGAGTCCAGCGCCTCAACCACCACACTACCTGCCAGCCCAGAACTTTTTACCCAAGAAGTGTGTGAAGCTTGTGGTTACAACTTTATAAAAGCAATTTAAAAATCATAATGGTTTTGAGGGATTTCGACCACCAAAGACCCTCTGCCCAGACCTTACCCTCCTGCTTCCCAGTCTAGCCAGGAGTCAGGAAAAAAGTATAATCTACCAGATGACCAGAAACCACTGCAGAGGCACAAGAAATATGAGAAATGAAGAAAATATCTCTCCTCTAATGCAAAAGAATAACTCCTCTTCCTTTACAAAGGATATAAGGAAACTCATAGAACTGTCAAATAAAGAATTTAAAATATTCATAGTGAAAAAGTTAACAGTGATGCTAGAAAATAGAGACAACGAACTCCAGAAGATACAGGTGAAAAGAGACACCAAGTTCTAGGAGGTGAGGAAGTTCTTGCATGATCTGAAAGAGGAGATACACATCATAAAAAAGAATCAAATGGTTGTTAGAGATGAAGGCTGTAATACAGGAAACCAAAACTTCCCTTGAAAATATCAAAAGCAGATTAGATCATGCAGAAGATCGAATCTCAGATATAGAAGACAGAATCTCTGACCGAGAAAAATTCACCAAAAAGGCTGAGAAAATAACCCCCCAAAATGAGAATAACATATGAGTAATACTAGATCCCATTAAATGTCCAAACATCCAGATCATCAGTAAGCCAGAAGGTGAAGAAACTAATAAGGGCATTGATCATCTATTCCATGAAATCCTGAAAGAAAACTTTCCAAACCTAGAGAGGCACTCAAATATCCAGACCTAAGTAAAACAAAAGACCCCACATAGAATCGACCCAAGAAGATCTTCCCTGTGTCACATCACAGCCAGATTGACCAAAACCACAGACAGAGATAAAATACTAAAATTGGCAAGAAAGAAACGTCAAGTTACTTTCAAAGGACATCCCATAAAACTAACGTTGGACCTCTCATCGGAAACAGTGTAAGCAAGGAAAGAATGGGAAAATATATTCAAAGTGTTAAGTAAAAAACAACTTCAACCAAGAATACTATACCCAGTAAGATTATCTTTCATATGGGGAAAAAAAAAAGAGACAAAAACATTCTCAGATAAACAAAACCTGAAAGAATTTACCAACACCAGACCAGCTCTCCAAGAAGTGCTGAAGGAATGCTATACCAAGAAAACTAAAGTCGGACACACAGAAATAAGAGTACAGAAAACAACCAAGAGAATGGCCAGCCTAATGGTAGGGACAAGTCCAGAATTGAATGTTAACTTCCAGAGTTTAAATGGAAAGATCAGACCACAGTAACACTGCAGATTCAATAGAAGAGAGATTAATTACGTGAGTCCGAACTAGTGAAATAGAATTTTCTTACTTTAGACTAAAACATTACTGATTTTCTTCAATGCTTTGATTTCCGTATTTAAAAGATTTTTGTCTTCTCTTAAACTGTTGATAGTTTCATTTACCTACTATTTGAACTGAATCCAAATCTTTTTCCTGGCTTTAAGTTTTAAGCAAATTTCTCTTAAAGTTTTTTTTATTTTGATCTATTAAAACTAAAACTTTTTTTGAAATTAAAAATGCATTAAAAGATACCTATTAATACCTGTTTAATGACTACAGTAAGCTATATATCCCCAGCAGAGGTGCTACTTTATAGTATGCTCACCTTACTCACTGAGGTTTACACCTAAAGTCAGACAGCCATTCATAAATATGTATATATGAGCTGCACTTGCTATTGAAGGTCTTTAAATTAATTAAGATCTTTAGCGAATCAATAAAATGTGAAAAAAAGGTATGGAAAGAAACTATACATACCAGAGACTGTGGGAGAAGTGGTGAAGTGGGCAGAGGGTGAGAGATAGGGAATCAAGGGGGGAAAATTAAAGCAAAATATGTAAGAAACAAGAAATAGAAAATTATTGATTGATGATAACATGTACGGTAATATCCTTGATTGAGCCAATATACAATATATACTGGATGGAAAATCTCATTTAGTTTACTGTATTGATGTTCAGTGAATGACTGTAAATAAATAAATAAATAAATAAATAAATGAAAAGGAAAATAAATCATAATAGCTTTGGTCAAAATCAACTTACATAGGACCTTGGGAAATACCAATTTATACTACAACTAAGTTCTTAATAGTCAGGTGATCAGCATGTAGTCAACATCACAGTCAGATTTTCTTGCTTGTACATTTTACGATATTTCCTATATCCAAATGTGGAAAAAAACTTAATTTTAAAATATTGGGTCAAGGGGCAGTCATGATGCATTATTTGCATAGAAAAACAGAAAAATACCTTGTGACTTTTCCAACAACCTAATAAAATAATGATAGCATATAGAAGAGTACTTTTTTGGGACCAGCAGTTGGCGTAATGGCTATGTCACTGGACTCCCATGTAGTCAACTGCAGTTCGTGTCCCAGACTGGGTGGCTTAAAACTCACGCCGGGCGCGTGTGCATGTGTGCCCAAGATCCCAAGAGGAGAATGGAGGAGAAGGGATGCGGCATGGCCATCCCCCTGGGGGGTGATTTCTCGCTGTCTCTCTGTTTCTGTCTTTCTGGCAAGCCCATGCACCCTATAGCAAAAACCTCTCCAAAAAAAAAAAAAAAAAGAAGAGGGACCAGCAGTTAGCGTAATGGCTATGTTGCTGGACTCCCATGTAGTCAACTGCAGTTCGTGTCCCAGACTGGGTGGCTTAAAACTCACGCCGGGCGCGTGTGCATGTGTGCCCAAGATCCCAAGAGGAGAATGGAGGAGAAGGGATGCGGCATGGCCATCCCCCTGGGGGGTGATTTCTCGCTGTCTCTCTGTTTCTGTCTTTCTGGCAAGTGCATGTGCCCTATTGCAAAAACCTCTCAAAAAAAAAAGAATATTTTTCATTTTGGCAATTATTCATGAGGGATGTGGTGAGAGGTGATTTGGAAAGAACAGAGCACAGATAACATGATCAACTTTGAAGATGTGGATTCAAGCTTCTCATCTTATTGCTGGCTAATTGTATCCCTAGAAATTTAGTCAGCAAAAATAATACATTTCAGGACATTTTTTTGACTGAAAGCATGTCTGAATCCATGGCTTTGGTATAGTAATGACTGGGCAACAATTCTGTCCATTTGTGTACCTGGGGAACCAAGGAATTCTATAGCTTGCTGTGTTTGTAAAATGATGTGTTGTGTACAACAAGTAGGGTTTTGTGCAGTCTCTGCTTACTGAATCATGTATTGGTGAAGAGTTGGGGTTTTGATATAAGACTGACTTAAATGAGTTAGTCTTGGGCAAGTTACTAACCTCCATGGTCCTCAGTTTCCTCATCTCTAATGCGTATAACATCTTGCTTGACTCTGTGACTCTGACAAAGTTTACAAAATACATAGTACAGAGTCTGGGCATACAGCCAGTTTTAAGAAAAATGTCAGCTTGGGACCAGCAGGTGGCGTGGTGGTTGAGGGTGCTGGACTCACACATGGCTGACCGTGGTTTGTGTCCTGGACTTGGCGGCTTGCTTTCTCATTTTCTCTCTTTTTCTATCACTCTCTCTTTCGCTCTGTCCCTCTCTGGTCAAATTAAAATAAATGAATAAATAAATAAAATTCTTTTTAAAAAGTCAGCTATTATTTTTATGTTATGGAGAATAAAAATGGCAGTGACTATTGTTAGTGGAAGCTAAAAAATTTGATTTCATCAGCGTGAAGAGTGAAATGGTGGTTACCAGAAGCTGGGAAGGGGAGGGAAGTAGGGATGATAGGGAGAACTTGGATAACAAGTACAAGGGAGCAAGTAGGTAAGTGCAACGAGTTCTAGAGTTCTACAGCACAGTAGAGCAACTGGAGTAGGATACTACAGCTGGTGACAATGCATATTTCAAAATCGGTGGAAGAGAAGATTTCAAATATTTACAACACAAAATAATAATAAATATGTGAGATGATGCATATATTCACTGCCCTGACTTGATCTTATATGTAATATACATGTATTGAAAAATCACACTGGGGTCAGCAGGTGGCAATGGTGGTTTAAGGTGTGGATTCCACATGGCCAACTCTGGTTCAAGTCCCAGACCCAGTGGTTTGAAAGACACTGGGTGTGTGTGCATGCATGCCCAAAGTCCTGAAAGGAGAATGAAAAGGGATTGCAGCATGGCCATCCCTCTTGGGGGATGATTTCTCAATTTTTCTCTCTCTAGTTCTCTGTCTTTTTCTAGCAAGTGTAAAAATCTAGAAGAAAAGAAAAAACATACATACTTATCCATAAATATGTGTAACTATTATATGTCAATGAAAAATTTGAATAAAGAAGACACAAAAAAAATGGCAGTGACTTTGGTACATTTATTCTCTTCATGTCAAAGATAAGACAATGACTTTAGCGTCTGATTTTATTTTTCAGAACATTTAGAAGATGTAGGACCCAAGGCTGTAGTAATTGTCTGATATGTGTGCATGGAAAGTCTCTTACTACTTATTTAAAATTTAGATTAAAAACAAAGAAAGTCTAAGAGGACAATTTTTTTTTTTTGGAGAGGTTTTTGCTATAGGGTGCGTGCGCTCGCCAGTCAGACAGAGAGAGACATAGAGACAGAAAGCGAGAAATCACCCCCCAGGGGGGATGGTCACGCCGCAATCCCTTCTCCTTCATTCTCCTCTCGGGATCTTGGGCACGCACGCACACGCACCAGGCGTGAGTTTTAAGCCACCAGGTCCGGGACGCGAACCACAGTTGACTACGTGGGAGTCCAGCGATACAGCCATTACACTAACTGCTGGTTCCCGAGGACAAATATTGATAACCAGCTAAAATAAGGTCAGAACTCTTTTGATTTTTAATATTTTTAGGAAAACAAATGAAAAGAAAAACTATAAAAATAAGATTAAGTCAGAATTTTTAAGAAATACTTATTTATTTCATTCCATTTGTTATTATTATTTTTAAATTTGACCAGAGAGAGAGAAAGAGAGAAAGGGAAAGTGAGAAAGCAAGTCACCAGGTCCAGGATTCGAACCTCAGTTGGCCATGTGGGAATCCAGCTCTTTTAACCACCATGCCACCTGCCTGCCCCCATTAAGTCAAATTTAATAAACCGTTTAATGATTATTTTCAAGCTAAAAGTAAATCATTAGTTAGAATTAACCCAACTGACTAGGAGAGTTTTATTCTTTATTATTTCCCACTCAGAAAAATATCTTTGTTAAGATTTCAAAAACCAATATGCTTATTTAGAATTTTATCTATAAAAGTTATTTTCTTACTTCAAACTTGGAATCATGAGTTCTATGCGAAATTTTTTATTCACGTGGATCTCCCAAACACATTGGATGTCTGTTGGGTAGTTTTCTGGATACTGTGGACTAGAAAATGAGCCAGAGAGACTAGAAATGACCCCTCCACAAGAGTTACTTTCTCCTGAAACAAGAGGAAAAAAGATGTCAGGATGTGTTCATAAAGAATCAGTTGTATAATTCTATTAATGGCCAGCTCACACTCAGTGACCAGGTGGAGTTGGGTGGCAGTTGGCCTGGGTGGAAATGCACAAGCTGTTGATAATAATGTATTTTTGACTTGACTAATACACACTGTATTTATGCTGGGAAAAAACATCTTGTACACTGTGCGATTAAACATAAATTTTTAAAAGGTAAAAAAAAAAAAAAAGGAAAATAAACAAAAAAATCCAGCATTCACTGAGTGACAGCAGAGAAACGCTTCCTTGCCTACACCATGCCTGTCTCTTTTATGCTGTATATGGGCACACTGCCTAGTGTCTACTATGATGGTTCTCTTGGCATGGAGTTACCGTCTTAAAAAACAAGTGACTACCTGTTATGTGCTCCTGAGAAGTTGCAGAATGACCTGGAAGGGAAAACGGGAGACAATGATGACATCAGAGGAAAAATAGCCTCATATGCAAATTAGTGAAATGCAAGAAGTTTCCTTAGAAACATCATTTTTTAAAATTTCAATTTATTTATTTGCATTCATTCACTGTACATCATTACAGCATACAAAATGAGATTTTCCATCCAGAGT